CCATTATACCCTGATTTCCCATTTTCAATGGGTTCAGGGTATAAAAAGTAAGAAGGCTCTAGTCGAGACTGCTCGACTAGAAGATACCCTAAACTTTCCAATCTGATTTTCTAATTAGAATGATTAGATTATGCACACATGCATACGCAGGAAATCTGAAGTCTCTAGGTCTTAAAGTGCTCAAATGAGGGTGAAAAAACAAAATCAAAATATCGGATGAGTTATCGAAAAAATAAAGCAAAGCCGTACTGCGTATGGTATACACGAGTAATCACACAAAATTTCAGCTCTATAGCTTTTGTATCTTCTGAGATCGACGCACTCATTCAGACAGACGGACGGACAGACGGACATGGCTATATCGACTCAGCTTGTCGTCCTGATCAAGAATATATATACCTTATGGGGTCTGCGATGATTCCTTCTGCCCGTTACTTACTTTTACACAAAATCATTATACCCTGATTAATCATTGTCATTGGGTTCAGGGTATAATCAGCTTCAAATTATATTCACATTGAATTATAAATTCATGAATTATTATTTATTTATTTTAGAATCTGAGTGCACAGTGTGAAGGTTCGCCTGTTCCTCTGGTGCTAGAAAATGGGACTGTGATCCCTCCCGCCAACCTTACGGATTTACCCTATTTAACTCACTTTGCAGTACGAGACCTACCTGCACACTTGCGCCCCCAACGTATTAAGATTGCCAAAGCGGACAGTGGTCCATTTCTATTCACTCCCATCCACTTCAACTCTGTTGATCGGCGGAACAAGAAGAAGGAGAAGAACAAAATAGGCATGTGAATATAGTTCGTAGAATAGAAAGATTTATTATTTGCTGATTTTTGTAATAGACTTTCTATGGGTGCAAAACGACCTATGCGAGGTATGCGTAACCCTGCGCAATCCCTTGCCATTTGAGCTGGCCGTCACAGACATGCGTCTACTTACAAATGGAGTGGTATTTGAATCGGTGCCCCAGACAGTTGTCTTGCAACCGAATGTGCCCACACAAGTCTCTCTTCATGGAACACCTATTGAAACTGGGCAACTGGATCTGCAGGGTTATAGTACTCATACTTTGGGCGTCAAGTCGAACTGCCGACTAAAGCACATGCGAGGACGCAACTTTCCGCCTAACTATCTTGTGGATGTGATACCTGCCTTGCCAAGTATTTCTATTAAAACCTCACTTCCACAGTCTGCATCGTTTAGCAACATGAACAGTGCGGACCTGGTGGTTACATCTGCAAGTCTGACTCTATACAATGGTGAGTCCTCTAGTTGCATTATTACAATAAGGAATGAGAGTAATACAATACCGCTGGAGCATCTCGAAGTAAACATTAATTCAAATGTCGAGCAGGAAATACAAAGAAAAATGTTTCAAATTAATGAACAGGACCTGCTGGTAAATATAAATTGTATACTTTCAATTACTTCTGGTAATATCAACTTGTTTTCAGACTCGGCTCCCCGTACCTCCGCTAAGTACTATTGAGTTCGAGCTCGTTATATATGCTGACGCTGATTTCGTATGTCCCCTACCAACGGACTCCATAAATTCTTTTGGTCCCGTGGCTTCTCAAGAGTATGGATCGTCTTCGCTGTCGCAGTACTCTAATATTTCGAGTCAATCTGCTAGTCTGCCGTCACGTGTCAGTTCACCCCAACATCGTCGCCAAGACAATATTAATGTTAGTTCAAAAATATCCGGAACTCCGTATTTAATGAATACTTTAAGTCTACAGACAAGTGGAGTAGGTGTTTCCTCCAATGCTGGGTTGAGCGTGCATTCCGCACAGAACAGTCAACATGTGGAAGCTCAATTGCGCATCAAGTTTTCCGGCGGAGAGGCGTTCGCTGAAGGGTATTGTCGTCAGTGCGCTGTATCTTTTAACCTTGAGCTACTTCCTAGTACCCTGATTACAGCTTGGGATGTGCTACCCGCAGAAATGTACGTAAATAATTTAAATTCGATTTTTCGATTGGTGTATTAATCTATAAAGTTGTTGCAGC